CAGCTAAAGGTGACATAGATACTTTATTGTGGTATAGTATTTAAATGTATGCCTGAGAAACACATATTATTGCCCCTTTAAAAACTGCACACTATAAATTTTTGAAAAAAGTTGCCTCATAAAAATCTGAAAAAAATCCCAGCAGCACAGGTTAGAAACGTTTATTTAAACAAACTCCAAGACTTCAGGAACATTTCTTCTAAAGACTAATGTGGAGACCTTCAGCCACAGCATCATGTTCACCATCACAACAATTCCCCCCTTAAACACAGTGGTGGAGGGCTTATGATTTGGGCTCATTATGCAGCCTCAGGACCATCAGTCCATCGTGAACTCCTCTGTATACCACAAATTCTATTCTAAAGTTAACCGTGAGGACATCTGTCGGCTGAAGCTTGGACCAAACTCTGTTATGGAAGTTTACACTGATCCCAGCTGTTGTGGAAACTTTGAAGCATCTGCAGGATTGTAGAATTTTCCTCATCGTTCTAAATCTACCAAAGACAGTCAAATTGAAGGAATGAAGAAAAGCAGCAACAAGAACACACATCAGCATGAGCATCAGTAGTCTGAGGGAAGAAAGGAAACCAGCAGGGGCAGTGTAAGACTGAGCAATGTTTTCTGGAAAACCATCTAGAATCATCCAGATGGTATTTTAAGGCTTACAGCCAACCAAAGCCTTTTGTAGACCAAACAGACCTATTCAAGAAAATGATTCATGATGTCAATAGCTTCTTTCTTCATGTTAATGCATCTTCAACAAGCATTTACACAATGATCCATGAATAGTTTAAAGAACACAGCAGGTTTATGGCACAGATTTACCTAAAAAACAGGTCCGTTCTATTTTTCAGAGTGAGGATATACTCATAATGTTATGGACGATGGATGTATGAGACAGCAGTAATTACAGTTGCTCCGTTGGGCAAATTAACTCAAACTCAGAACAAACAGATACAGTGGCTCGACGTCGTTTCCTGTTAGTCGACTTATTGACTGCAATTGGTCTGTTAACAAAAAACAGGCCAATCGGTAACAATGTACAAAAAGTAGAAATTTAAATTATGTCCAGTACTATCCAGCTTACGTAAAATGATAAGATCCTAAATTCAGAACCATTCAGACTGCTCAGTTCATCACTGCAGCTGCCCTCCCACCCATGCAGGACCTCTACAACAAGAGATGTGTGAAGAAAGCCGTCAGTATCTCCTCTGACCCCACCCACCCCAGCCACTTCCTGTTTCAACYCCTGCCATCTGGAAGAAGGTACAGGATCATCAGAGYCAGAACCACCAGACTCAAGAACAGCTTCTTTCACCGTGCTGTTAAACTGGTGACCCCAGCCACTCCAGCCACAACCTGAACAATCATAGACTGGCTGTTGTCCACACCTAGTTGACTTCATACACACGATTGTGTATTTAATGTTTGTGTCTAATGTTTATGCACGTTATGTCTTGTCTGCACTACGTCCTTTGTTGCTGCACTGGAGATCTAGCTTAAAAGCATTTCGTTGCACTGTACAACCCTGTGTCAGTATAATGACAATAAATTTAATTGAATTTTCATAATAAAAGCAGGGTTCAGTCATGGATTTAATTAAAAAGCTATGGCCAAATAGGAGAAAAGAGCACCACAGCTCTGTGACAGGACCCAACAGAACACATCAAACCAGAGAGAGTTCAAACAAGTGATCCAGCCAACATAATCAATAATTAAATAATTATCTATTCAATCAAAATCCTTGCTTATRCACAGTTCAGATTAGCTCTAAAGGCTGTTGTATTTTGCGTTATGAATAATTGAATTTCCTGTTTGCAGAGCTGAGCATTAAGCTCTTATTTCCTCGTACCTTTTAAATGGCAGCATTAAAGTGAATAACCTACCCTTACATTAAGGCTGCTGTATTCCTCRGGGGCCTGGCTGGTGGAAGTGATGCTCAGTAAAATGCGGGCATAAGCACCAGAAGCTCACRAGGCAGACGGCATCGTCAGAACCACTGAGAGGAAATTAGGAAGTGATACAGCTCTGTTGTTGGAGAAAGAGTAAAGAGTTACGGTAAGGCTCTTCAGCTAGGAGCTGGCCCCTCCCCAACACACACAAACTGCACTGCAGGCACCAGATAAGGCCCTGAAYGCACCACACCCTCCTCTCTCTCTCAGCTACATCCAGCTAACWGCCTTCAGTCGTTTGATTTGCTGTATCACTGTAAGCACCAGTGAACTGCACTCTGGGTCTCGTCCGTCATGTTTCCACCTGTATTGGCAGGCTTTAAAGGCTAAAAGACAAAGCTGGATCAGATTCATGTGGGTTATTAGAGCTCACTGTGCTGGAAATGTGAAACTCGGGCAGATTACTAAAGCTTTAATGGAGGTTCTGGATGAAAGATGCATTTACCCGACACCATCAGGCTGTCTGAGCTCGGATAGTAAAATCAGCTGGCCTAAAAGCTGCTATAAAAATGAAATTACACAAAATTACCCAKCCTCTAAAGTAATAAAACTTCTTCACAAACAACTCCAAGTGAATGCAGTACACTCTTAGATATTGAACTTTATAAAAATGTGTTGCTTCTTTTTAAAATGATGCCATTTACTTGATAAATGGTTTTGCTTTTTTCATGTTTTGTTAACTCATCCAAAGTAAAAAGGTTTGCACTTGTTTTAAGCAGTATTCAGTTTATGTAAGCAGCAGCTTTTTCTTTTCTTACAAAAGGTTTTGGTTCAGTGTGTGTGTGTGTGTGTGTGTGTGTGTGTGTGTGTGTGTGTGTGTGTGTG